CCAACCTTTTTTGTATTTGTTACTCCCTTGTAACACCGCTAATCTTCGGCACATATGACCTTATTGTGTTGCAAGTGCCGTAAAACTCTTAGTAAGACTTTTTTTTAAAAAGATGTTGATGACGATAATAGCTGTGCTGTTCTAACTTGCTCTTGTTTGAGCTGTCGTGTTACCAGAGAGGGTTTACAGTAACTGTATTGCTGTAAACTCTCTAGTAACTGTATTACTATAAACTCTCTAATAACTGTATTACTGTACTGTAAACTCTCTGTAGTAACTGTATGACTGTAAACTCTCTAGTAACTGTATTACTGTAAACTCTCTAGTGTTACTGCTGCCCCGTTCTCCTCCTCGCGGACTCTCCCATTTTTACGTAGTTTAGGAACAGATAAAAACCCACAAGAATGAACTCTTCGACCTTTACTGACCACAGCCTTAGGCAGTTAGTAGTTGAGGCTGTCCCAAATCTTATCAGCTGTTGCTGCTGCTATAGTGCATCATGAGGTAAGGCTGCACCCTATCTTAACTCTAAGTATACTGAAGGCTATTCCATCTTTGTACGCAGCCAATTTTGTCATCCAAGGTTTTAGCATAGCACGCTTCCCAATCACTCCGCCCCTATGTATCCTATTTGCATAAAATAAACGGAAAACTTAGTAGAGATGAATTATCCCATAAGTGATTATACAATTTGATATATTATATATAATTATAGATCTAGATGATTTGGCTGAGGTTTTGGAGATATTTGTATGGTTTTGTTATGCCTGTAAACAACTGAGCTCTGCTGACAGCTCACTGAACTGGCTTGTCGTATCCCCAAAGAGTTAAAAAGACAAGGAGTGCGTTCATCATGCGTTGTATCTTGTCGGTGCGCAAATATTGAGGAGTGTTGTCCCTTTTCCTGTTGAACGCACAGTTAAGAAAATGACCAAAAGGTGAAAGACTGTCGAGGTCTTGACCTAAAATGGGTGGCACTTTTTTAATTTTGGTATTTATGTTTGTTTGTTTGTTTGTTTGTTTGTTTGTTTTAGTAGAGGTATTACGGCGCTCGCATCTGCATTAGGTCATGTGAGCACCAGAAGATTAGAGGTGTTACAAGAGAGTAACAAACATTTTTAAAAAAAAGAAGGAGGGGAGATAAGGACGATAGATGTTTGATAGGAAAGAAGAAGCAAACCACACCAGAGCACCCGCCAACCACCCACTTTGGTATTTGGGGTGTATTTTTTGTCCCAGTTTAACGTCAGTCGATGAAGCTCACTGACCTGGACTTGGCCTCTTTGGAGTGCAGCAGCTGGTTAGAACAAGGTCTGTTTCGTAAGTGTCAGTGGTGTCAAACGACGGGGTAAAAATCTTATGCTCCTTTGTCTTGTCACCTCTGCACACTTACACACGCACGCGCGTGCGCATGCGCAAGCACACACAGAAACACACACACACACACACACACACACACACACACACACACACACACGGAGAGAGAGAGAGAGAGAGAGAGAGAGAGAGAGAGAGAGACCTCCTTCTTTCTTGTGTATGTTTGTTACTCTTTTTTTAGCACCTATCTAATCTTCAGCCCTAATATGACCTAATTGTGTCGCAAGTGCTGTAAAATGCTTACGAAAACTACAGACCTGTTAGAAATCCTGTTGACGTTCAAAGGGTTAACTCTAAATATCGTCCTTATCTCTGTCTCTCCTTCTTTTGTGTGTTTGTTGCTCTTTTGTAACACCTCTAATCTTCGGCACTTATGTGACCTTACTGTGTTGCAAGTGTCGTAAAATACGCACCTGTTAGAAAGTCCGGTTGACGTCCAAAGGGTTAACTTCAACCTGTGATGAGATGATGACGGTCCGGACCCGCCAAGGGCAGGTAACTCGGGCTGCCATTCCCAACAACGGCGGCCTCTCCCAGGCCCAGTGTCCGCCGTCACGATTTCATGTCCACGACTTCCGGAAAACAAACTCGGTCATGTCAGTTAGCAAAGCCCTCCCGGCCCACGATAAGACGCGCCGAGTATAATATTCTGCTGCTGAGCTGAGTGGTGGGACAAATCCGGATAAACCTATCAGGATAATCGGCTAATTCTCAATGAAACATTTTCCGAATTCAGACTCTTAGTTAAGCTCTCTATCCTAACCCGTTTGCCGAAGTGGGTGCACCCATTTGTTGAAGTGGTTCTAACCCGTTTGTGGAAGGGAAGTGGTTCTAACCTAATTGCTGAAGCGGTTCATAACGCATGTAATTGCCGAAGAGGTGAACTAACGTATTATCCGAATTTTGCTAAAGCGACTCATTGCCCAGCCCTACATGTTGTGCCGTTGTGCCGTTCTCGTTCAAAAACTCGGTGATCGATTCCTGGGGAATGAATTAATTATATACATTTATATATATACGAGTAATAGACGAGGGAGAGCTCATTAGTGAGCATACATCATATATATATATACACGTACCATTCGTCAAATCTCTGGGGGTTCCTGGTAGATAATAGTCGTGGTGTGTTTATCGATTACAGCGGGCTTTTGTTGGTCGTGACGGCGAGACTCTTGACGTGGAGTGAGGTATCGATACCCCCAGCGGTAGCCGCGAGAGTGCAAACGAAGGGCGGGGGAGGTTGGGGGGGAGGGTGGAGAAAGCTTCGCTCGGTGCTGCCTTGGGCCAAATTGTACCTGTCTGGGTGAAAGGTCACGAACAGAGGAACGGTAACAGCTCTGACGTCACGCAGTGCTCCCCCTCCCCCTCTCCTCCTCTCTATCTTCTATCTATTTCTTCTTCTGTTCTTCTTCTTCTTCTTCTACTTCACTCTCCGTTCTCTCTCCCCGCGGTCGAGCTAAGAACGTATTTCTGGAAGAGGAGCCAAATATAGAATTGTGATTGACGGTTGTTTCCAAATATGAGCGGGCTCTCGTTTCTGACTGCCCC